TTTTCTGACATTTGGACATCTTGCCTCTGATGGCTAACAGTAACTCGACTAAACCACTGAATCCATATGCTTAGCAGTGCTGATGTTTTATCTCCACAAAGATCATAATCTTGAAGGAGTTATGCCATGTTGTAGAGTTGCTAATGCTAACGGTTAGCTTCTACTAGTCAAGACATACTTTGCTCTTTCCAGGACGCTAAATCAACAACATTCTTCCCTGTCACAAGCCAAGATGGGTGAATCCATGAATGTTGAGAGACAGTGTGACATAGATTTTTTAGGCTTTCAAATCCTAGCGTTTCACACTTTATATTCTGTCAGAAGCTAATGCAGGAAACAGGGGTAGGAGACTTTTTTCATGTTCAGCCTGCATAACAAACACCGACCAATCATAATCAGAAATAATGAAATGGTTTTTCAGTCGAGGCGACCTTTGACACCTGACTCCTTTGCTGGACTAGGCCAGGAGTCTATCATGAAAATACAAGAAGAGCGCATACCCACCAAACAATCAACGTTGCATCGACGTGCAGATCAAGTCTATATTGAGTTTGTCAGTCTAGACAGGGGTCCTCAATTATAATGGTCCGAGGGCCACTCACAAAAAACACCCAGAAGAGGTCTGGACCGGGTTGGGGAGGTTTGGGGAGGGGGCTGTAGGATGAATGTCGGAGCGGGTGGGGGGGTGGGGGCACACCTATATGGGAGCACACTTCCCATTTGCCCGTCATCTCGGGGGGTGTTCTAGATGTCTGCTGGACACCAGGGCCATTATTTGGACGTCTAAATATGACCCCACTTGGATGCCAATATAACGTGAAATATTTGGACCTTGGGTTGGGTAACTTTTTTTGTATTCATGGGAACATCTAAAGCCTGACAGATCTATGTCACACAGTCACTCAGCATTCATGGACTCAGCCATTTTGGCTTGTGACAGGGAAGGCTGTTGTTGATTTAGAGTCCAGGAAAGAGCAAAGAATGTGCAAGAAATACCACAAAAAAATGTTGTTGCTTACTGCTCACACATTGTAGCAATGTCTTTTCTTGGCAATTTCTACACATCCAGTTTTGGTCCACTGAAGATGCAGAATGTGACGTCAGATGAGGTCTTGTGAATCTCTGGTATTGACGTCTCCAAGACCCCCAGATATGGGCTAAAGCTGGTCCAAAGAAGGTCGTTGTGGATGTCATGTCAAAGTAATCTAGACACGTCCAGGTCCTTTTTCTCAGCTTAATTATTTGGTCCACTTAAAGTGCAAACTGTGAAACCAGATAAAGTCATTTTTCAACAACCTTGGGATGTCCAATACTGACCTCTTCAGGACCTCCAGATATGGGCTGATTCTGGTCAAAGGGAGGTCTTTGTGGACATCATTCTCAAGTTTCTCAGATAAGTTGCAGTGACTTCATATCTAGTTCATTCCTGCGCCTTTATTTTTTGGTTCACTGAAGGTGCAGACCGTGATGCCAGATGACATCTTTGTTCAACTTCTTCTGGACTTCCAGTGCTGATGTCTCCAGGACCTACTGATGTGCAGGCCTGCCAACTCTCACACATTGAGCGTGAGACACACGCATTTGACTCTTGAGAAATCAGGATCTTGAAAATGACGTGGAACCAGCTGGACAGAAAAGCCCAGGACAGAGATGCGTGGAGATTCCTTGTTGGTTGCACATACCCCAGGAGGAGTTGGCAGGTTATAACTAACTAACTAACTGACTGACTGACTCACTCTGTAGAATGCTGTCCTAAAGGCTGTCAAGGAGACTTTCTTCGTGGAAATATTTAAGACTAGGGTAAATGCCCATTTTCATTCTCTATTCTTTGGGTCAAGTTGGAATTGACAGTTGCTATATTTTTAGTGTCCTTTTCATGTTTTAATTGTCACAGCTTTTATAGGGTTTTTAACACATGTTCTATTGTTTTAACTTTTGTCTGTTTTGTGTAGTTCAGACATACCACATTCAAGAACACATGGCTTCAGAACTTAATAGATATTCAGCTGAGGATAAAGATATCCTGTAACATGGTAGGTTTATTACACAAATAGTGCATTAGGACAGGGCTTCTACTATTCAGTTCTGCAGCCAGCTGTGATAGGCTATGTGCTCTGTGACCTGTAGCCTTCTGTTATCTAGTTATTCTGACAGCTGCCTCTTGTTAGCTGGGGTACGCTACATCCATGAGGTAAGTTAAAGGTGCATTATGCAGAAATTAAGTAAAAATGGCATCCTGTAGTAAAATGTGGTTACTGCAACCACTCGGGAGCTTCTTGCCATCTGTCATCAAATTACAATTGTCGGCGCTGCAGTATAAGCTTGCCGGAGACACGGCAACTCCACATTCACTGATGGTAAACAGTAGTTACGTCCCTCCTTCCTATGTTTTGAAAGGAGAAATACTGACAGACAATCCCCACAGCCAGCTGGATATAAAATATGTTTCAGTATAACCTTCCTTCCTAAATGACTGAAACATTAGGCTATTTTTGGATTTTCTCACTGTAAAATTCGCACTATATTCTTACATACGGCCCCTTTAACAGAGTCTCCTTGCTGACCTCACGCTGAATATATATATTTCATCTGTCTTTTAGCCATTCTCATTCAGTTGCAAGCAGGTGGGCAAGCAATGAGCTCTTCCATTTATCCTTCTTTTATTCCACTTCTGATTCCAGTTTTGCACTGAAGGCAAGACCAGAATGTCATTGAGGCTAGTTGTATGATTCAGTGCAGCAGCTACAACCCATGTGCCATGGTCTTGGTAAGCTGTCTTTATCAACATTGACACACCCAGAATATTTTTACAAATGTACACATAATTTTTCAATGAGGTACCAAAGTGAGCATTGAAGATTGAGGCTTAAGTGGCATTTATCCCATGTGTAGTACCAAGCCTTGATACCATGCCTATCTCTGATCTTTGGTTCCTGACATTTCATCTGATTCCCAACTCCTGCCTTCTGAATATTGAATTATTCTACTATATGCCTCAGGGTTTCTGACTCTCACCTGTTTTATGACGAAGCTCCAGTCAACTCATTTGGTATTTGTTTGTCTCAACAAATCATCTTACACTGAATCAGAAGAACAAAGCTACACTGCAAAAACTTTCTGAGCATTTCTTTCAGTGTTCTAGAAAATGGACCTGATGTCATTTTTTTTATTTAAAACCATAAATTATCTTCAGTGCTTGATAGTCATTTGGATCCTCTAGTCATTGTGGAAACACATTGTTGAAGTTGATGCAGATGTTCCTGTTGCTTCTTTACTTCCAGTGGCTGCATTTCTACCGCCTGGCGCTACTGTCCCCATCACCTCTGCTGAGGTAGAAATCCTGACGCACACTGTTATCACTTAGTATGGTTTAGCTTAAACAATTTGGAATAAGGAGACATGTGCACTGAACAACTTTGGACATGCGCCCCTTCTGCTCTCTCAAGCACGTCATGTTCATAGCGGCAACAATTTCCCATAACGTTCACAAAAGTTAGAGTGAGAGGTGTGCACTCTTTACTCTGCTCATATTACATGACGCTGAACACAAAGATCCCCTAATGGTGACAGACATTGTACTACAGCAGTTACCCTGTGGCATAAGCAGAATGCGTCAGGCAAGAGCTTGTAATGAGCATCCGTGTTTTACTGCTTGGGCGGTGCAAAGCAGTTGGGAAAAATATTGATGGGAGAGCTCATATCAATTCTACAAAGCGTGGCAAAGGAAGTGGTACACACAACACATTTTTATATGCATGCACACCACACCACGTATGTGCACTCCTTCCTATCTATCTAGCTATCCTCTGCCTTAAAAGTAAACTAAAACATCCTTGACAGCCAGAATAGCAAAAATCTCACTACTCACTCATTCTGCTCATGAGCTAATGATGCAGTTATCCAAGTTCTTGTCATTTTATTGAAATTCAGAAATTAAAGTGTCTGTAGTTGCACCACAAAGAGGAAAACAGATTAAATAAACTAAAATTTCACAGATTGAATTTTTTGAGAAAAATATAGATACAACTCATCACATAAGAGCTGGTATTTCCAGTCCTATAGTTAGTGCTCAGATATATTTCATTAGAACGACCAAAAGCAGCACAAAATTACTGAGTACGTTTTTCATTCTGTCTCAGTTAAGAACACATGAGAGTGCTGAGCCCTGACACAAATGGCGGCGATGTTGACGTATGCCCGAACGTGCCTGCACTATGACATCACTTCGTCAGCGTCGGTAAAAGTCTGCGTCGGGAAAGGGGGCTCACGGAACTGCTGTAGGGTAACGACTAAACATTTGAGATGATGGGAAGTGGAAATTGTAGACCACTTTTACAACCGCAACATTAACTTGTCGACAGTAGGACATCCTAGTACCTCACAATAGAGCGAATGTTACGTGCGGCCTCCCGGAGGAAGGGCTTTAATCGGGAGCGCTGGGGAGGGCTGTAGCTGCTGGGCTGTTTTTGGAGAAACAACATGGCTGCGGTGGAGCTCGAATGGATCCCTGAAACGCTGTACAACACCGCAATCTCAGCTGTGGTGGACAACTACAGCCGATCGAGAAGGGACATCCGTTCGCTCCCAGAAAACATCCAGTTTGATGTTTACTACAAGGTGAGATTAGCAGTCCGGGATGTCATGTCTCAGTCTCCCAACACAGCTAACTGCTAGCCCTAGCTAAGTCCATCAGACTGATCCTACAGATGGAATAACAAGCTAAAAACTGTAAATCAGGATAAGTGGTCGCTCTTCTGTTAAAAAGCATTTATAACTACTTAATTTTGGAGTTTCGTGCAATCAGACTTTCTGTAGGAACTCAAGGCTTCCTGTGAGATTTTTATAGGGAATGTTAACCCGTTCTGTTTTGTTCAAGTCAGACAATCAGACAGGAACCATAGACATGTAATATAACCCAACTCAGTAGATACAGCCTGATGTTCTGCCTCTGCACGCCAGTGATAAGGAACATATGAGTTTTGTGTGTGTGTGTGTGTGTGTGTGTGTGTGTGTGTGTGTGTGTGTGTGTGTGTGTGTGTGTGTGTGTGTGTGTGTGTGTGTGTGTGTGTGTGTGTGTGTGTGTGTGTGTCAGCTTTACCAGCAGGGCCGGCTCTGCCAGCTGGGAGGGGAGTTCTGTGAGCTGGAGGTGTTTGCTAAAGTGCTGCGAGCCTCAGACAAAAGGTAAGACCATGATGGTCACGTGTCTGTCCCTTCATCAACATTCAAATGTTTGTTGTCATGGTAACAATGAAGTTGTCATTAAAGTTACGTGACTATCACCTTAAACAGGTGTCAAAGCTGTCCATTTTAGCAGAAAAAATATAAAAAAACGATGTTCTCCACTCACACATACAGTATGTTGCAGTTGATCTGTTTCTGATGTTAGCTGGAACAAACTCGGTCAGATTGACCATTTAGCAGCACGCTGATGACTGAAGGATAGCGACTGCTCCGGAGTCGCTTCGTGGATCTGACACATCTGCCTGAAGCCAGGAATTCAAACAATGCATGTTCTGGGTGTGAAGGGTCCTGGAGAATTTTCTTGTCCTTCCTGAGGCAGAAGGAACTGTGTAGTTCTCCTAAAGGGGAGAGGACTGTCGACTACAGGGTAATGCAGGCAGCTGGAAATCTGCGTACAGAGACTGTAGACCAGAGGTATTCAGTTCCGGGCCTGGAGGGCCAGTATCCAGTACATTTTAGTTTTAACCCTGCTTCAACACACCTGGTTTCAATCAGCAGGCGATTAACCGGTTTCTGCAGAGCCTGGTTAGCTGCTGCACAGGTGATTATACCACTGAATCAAGTGTGTTGGTGCACTAAAACATGCTGGATACCGGACCTCCAGGACCATGATTGAATATCCCGGCTGTAGACTAATGGTAAAAGAACATCAGCAGGTTCTCAGGGATGTTGTTCTTCCTGACCCCCAGGAAGTAGTCTCTTTTAGGCCTTCTTCCCAACACCAGCGGGGTGCGTTCCCAATTCAAGTCCTCCCTAATGGTGACCCCCAAGAAGCTGAAGTCAGACACCCTTTCCACACAGTTCCTGTTTATGATGAGAGGTTGGATGTTGGCTACCTGATGTCTACACTGAGCATATTGTTGTCAGTTGTTCCATTTCATCTCTGTAGGGGGACTCGCCCTTCCCCAGACAAGAGTCGTACTACCGTGGTATCATCAGTGTCTTGTTTTAGCGAAATGCTTTTAAAGCTTTTAGGTTGATGTTTGAGACTAGAGATAGACTGATGTGGTGTTTTTTTTTTTTGTTTCTGATGCAGACATGTAGACTTATTGGTAGGGATGTAAGAAAATGTCGATTATGGCAATATATTGTGATATTTTCCCCAGCGATATTATATCGATATTCAAAAGCTGTGTATTGAAAATATCGATATCGCAATATATCGTGATATTTTTTCTTGCAAAAATGTATCGATATTCAAAAGTCGCGTATCTAATTTTTGGAAGAATTTACATGGAAATATTTGTGTATTTTCTTTTCTTCTGGTGCAATTCAAACGCCGACCACTAGTTGGCAGCAGTGTGTAATGGGTTTTGTTTCCACCAATGAAATGTAAATCCCTCTGTTATGGTTAAACATGTTAAGTATCAGTTTGGACTGTTTATTGAATTTTCCTATAATAAATTTAGTCTAAAAAATCGCCATTATCGTCTGACTGAATGTATCGCAATATATCGTGATATATTGTATCTTCTCCCCTGTAACGTAATACATATTGTATCGCCAGAATTTCACCAATACACATCTCTACTTATTGGTCAGCTGATGTCTGATATGTACTGCCGATTGTTTTGTGTTGATTTTCATATCTAGATGGTTAATGATATTTTTACGTTCTAAAATGTCCCTAATGACAGAGTGGGTGGACCTGATCTGTATTAACCTGCTGGTGGTGGTCAAAGGGAGCGGCGGTGCCGGTTTTTGGTAGTCTCGGTCCTGTCAGTGTGCCCCAGGGCAGCCGTGGCTACATTGTTGCTCATCATCACCAGTGTGTGAATGTGTGTGTGCATGGGTGGATGACTGATTGTGTTGTGAAGTACCTTGAGGGGTTGTAGAACCATAAGAAGCACTATACAAATTAGGGATGTAAGAAAATATCGATATGGCAATATATCGTGATATTTTTTCCTGTGATATTATATTGATATTCTGAAGTCATGTATCGAATTTTTGGAATGTTTACATGGAAACATTTGTGTATTTTCTTTTTTGTGTATAAATTCAAACACCGACCGCTAGTTGGCAGCAATGTGTTTTGTTTCTGCCAATGAAATGTAAATCCCTCTATTATGTCTTTGTTACATTTGCAATGTGTTGGTTATCCAGTTTGATTTTGTTCTTCGTTATACACAGAGTGACATGGGTTTGTTGTTGCCTACGCTGACATGTTTCCACTGCCGCCATCGTCAGAGCAACCGCCGGATGTTGATTGCGACGATATCGTCCTCTGCTGCCCGCATAGTCTAAAAAAATTGCTAGTATCGTCTGGCTGAATGTATCGCGATATATCGTTTCGCCAGAATTTCACCCGTACAGATCCGTAACACAAATACAGACTTAACCATTTAAGGTATATTCCAGTTGTTTAACACACGTTTAAGTAATTGCTGCAGACTGGCGAACTCTAGTGTCACTTGCTGTCATCGTTTTTACACAAACCAGTTCCTGCTGCTGATTTTCCATTTGGACAACGCCATTTAGTGTTCTCTGCTGCCATGGTTACAGCTTTGTGTCAACAGCCACAGATGTGTTGAGATTAATTTGTCAGTGTTGTTCTACAGTTGGTAGAGAGAGGTTCTGCTCTTTCTCTTCAGTGACATGCTATCTGTCTCTGTCCTCCACGCCGCAGACATCTCCTGCACCACTGTTTCCAGGCGCTGATGGACCACGGTGTGAAAGTGGCCTCAGTTCTAGCAAACTCCTTCAGCCGTCGCTGCTCCTACATCGCTGAGTCTGATGCCCACGTCAAAGAGAAGGCCATCCAGTTTGGCTTTGTGCTCGGTAAATGCTGATGTTGGGATGGGATGGATTACCCTCCTGTCCAGCTGCATTGTGCTGCATCGTGCTCGATTAACAAGTATCTCAAAGCTGCTTGGACAGGGCACTTGCATGTTGTCAGGACAGAACTGCGTTGGTTTTATAAAAACACTTTGTGTTTTGATTCCAGGTGGCTTCTTGTCTGACGCTGGCTGGTATGGAGATGCAGAGAAGGTGTTTCTGTCGTGCCTGCAGCTGTGCACGCTTCACAGCGAGGTCCTTCACTGTTTTCGGGCCGTGGAGTGCTGTGTCAGGTCAGTCTGTGGTTCAGCCCACCAACAGGACACTTTTGGAGTTTCTAAAGGATTTCGTCCACCACTCAGTGTTAAATCATTAGTCAGTCATGTTCTGTTGGTTCAGTACTTCTGAACCACTGCATTAGTAAATGTTTTGTTGACTAGAGAAACTGCAGTACTTACTTAAAAGGCTCACTAAGTAGCTTTCATATTTTTAAATAATTTTCCTGCATTTTTTAGATCATGAATACAGCTGTTTTGTTTGATTTAGTGATTAACCACTCCTTTAGAAGCTAATGAAGGCTGAGGAGACATTTCAGCAGTTAGAAAAGCATGAACGCTCAGTTTGTATTACTACAGTTATTTAAACCCGATACTAGGGGGTGTTAAAGCACACAACACTTACTTAAACCTAGTTTATACTTCTCTGTGTCTGCCGCTAGATATCCTCGGCTCTCTTTTTGTTTTTGAGTGTGCAAAGCCAGCGCTGTTGACGACAGCAACGTCCTGACCAATCACAAGTTTGCATTCTCCGTCTCAACAGACGGATATTTAGAAAAGAGAGCTAGACTCCGTCCGTCCTTGCGAGCTTGTTGGAGAGCCATCGAAAGGACGGATAACGGCATTGCGTGCATCCGTCCTGATGCAGACGGAGAATTATAAATTAGGCGTTGGTGTGTCTTTATGATGTAAATTACACAAAATGCTTGGGTGGTCAGCATCAAGCTATCACACCTTTATACAAAAAGTGGGTCTCTATTGCCTCTATAAACACTCCAAACATGACAAAAAAAAACATCCGGCAGTTTTCATTTGCATTTATGAGCCGTTTTGAGTCTCTAATGAATAAGGAACATTAGCATAGATGACCCCCCCCCCCCCCATCCCAAGTAGTGGCTTTAAGCCTAGCCCCTCCCAAATACCTGAGCTCCTCATAGCAGCCAATCAGTGGATGGATGGACGTGACGTTATTGGGCTATCATTCTGTTTAAATGTTTAAATGTAAAGTGGACATTTTTTATAATGCTTAAAAGTAAAACTTAATTTAGAAGTCTCGAATGTTAACTCTCACCTCTCTTGTCATCTCAGGCTGCTTCATGTCCGCAACGGTAACTGTAAGTACCACCTGGGGGAGGAGACCTTCAAGCTCGCTCAGTCTTACATGGACAAACTAGCCAAACATGGCCACCAGGCCAACAAGGCCGCACTGTACGGCGAGCTTTGTGCCTTGCTCTTTGCCAAAAGCCACTACGATGAGGTACAGATGTTTACTAACCACATGTGTTCTCTAAAAGATTTTTCCTCGAACAGGTTCCATTGCTAAATCAGAGCTTTGCACCATGCAGGTAAAAGTAGAGCAGGACTTCTTGAAAATAGCTGTCTTCACCTAGCCACGTCTCCACAATACAAGAGAATGCTGAATGTAATGAATCCTGTCAAACATCCATAAAAACAACATCTTACCCTTTTGAGCCATGTTTACTAAAGTAACACACCTAATTACCTGTATAACTATTTCATATGCTAGCTCACATACCTAGACCAGCTCTGGCTTTGCTTCCTGTTCAGCTGCTCTGAGCCAAGAATGCACCATTCATGCATAGAGAGGGGTGTGTGCAGAGGTGGGCAACATTACAATTGATATGGCTTACATCGTTTCAGAAAAACATCTCCTATCCCACCTTTAATGTGGCTCAGGAGATTGTGTTTGTGGGGGGTGGTCGTGTGTGACTCCTGTTAGTGGTGTATAAAGTTTATACAACAGGTGGGTGAAACTCGGACATCTGTTAGAAGAAGACGACAATCTTTTATATAGCGCCTTTCAAGATAGAAATCACGAGGTCGTTTAAAAAAAACAACAAAAAAATTAAAGTATAAAAAGATTTTAAAAATGATAGAAATATGTTTAAAAAGAGAAAAGAACAAAATGCAAGGAAAGGGAGAAATTGAATGGGGAAGAAGAAGAAGAAAATATCGTTTCTATAGCACCTCTCAAGATAAAAATCACGAGGCGCTTCACAAAAACGAAAAATTTAAAAATATAAAAAAGAATTTAGAAAATGGTTAAAAATATATTTAAAATGAGCACACAAAAAAGACAATTGTGATTAAAAAAATGTTAAGAAAGAGAGAGAGTGGATAGGAAAGAGGGGAATCAGTGGATCCTGAGGAAGGTGGAATAGGTGGGGAGAGCAGAATAAAGAGAGAGGTGAAGAAGGTCATACAAAAGCCAGCTTGAACAAGTGAGTCTTCAGCTGCTTTTTAAAGGAGACCACTGAGTCCACTGATCTCAGGCTCAGGGGGAGAGAGTTCCAGAGTCTGGGGGCCACCGCAGCAAATGATCTGTCACCTTTGGTCTGTTAGCAGGAGTTCTGAGGCAAAGTCGTCATTTCATAAACAGATGAAAGATTACAAATTTGAGTTAAAAATAAGAAAATAAAAGGTTTAGTTAAAAGCAGCTTTAAATAAAAGGGTCTTTAGCTGCTTTTTAAAAGTGTCCAGACTGTCAGTGCTGCGTAAGGATAAAGGACGATCATTCCAGAGTCGGGGTGCAACAGTCTGGAAGGAGCCATCACCTCGACTTTTATATCTGGTCTCTGGAACTTCTAGAAGGTTCTGGTGTGTGGACCTGAGGGCTCGGGTTGGAGCATAAGGCTTTAACAGTTCAGTAATATAGGGAGGAGCTTGACCATGTAGAGCATTGAAAGTTATAATCAGGATTCTAAAGTTAACAGGTAACCAGTGCAGAGACATCAGAATAGGAGTGATATGTGCTCTTCTGTTTGCTCCAGTTAGGAGCCTCGCTGCAGAGTTCTGGACCAACTGAAGGCGGTCAAGGGCTTTTTTGTTAAATCGTGAAAAGTGTGTTACAGGAAACTAGACGGGAGGAGATAAAGGCATGGAGAACCATTTCAAGTTCATGTTTTGACACCAACCTTCACAGTTCAGCTCCATTTGGGAAGACCAACGGTTTTGTTTTGTGTTTTTTAAGAACCAGATAAAAACCAGCTCTGACCAGCACTGGAACCAGTTTGAGCGAAAAACCTGTGGTAGCACTGAGACTTCATTACTTTTCTGGGTTTTACTTGTCTTACAGGCATACAGATGGTGTATAGAGGCTATGAAAGAAATCACTCCTGGGTTGCCTGTCAAAGTAGTTGTGGATGTTCTCCGACAAGCCTCCAAGGTAAATCAAGAGGGCTGTGTTGTTAAAATGTCTGTCAGGCTCCGTGTGTGTACCCGATGCTGCAGATGATCGTTGAGTCTGGTGGTTTGATGCACGTTCATTTGTCATTTTAAAGCTGGTCTCCTCTCTGCAGGCTTGCGTGGTGAAAAGGGAGTTCAGAAAAGCAGAGCAGCTGATCAAACACGCGGTGTTTCTAGCAAGGTAACCTGCTGTGTCTACGAAAGCAGCCACAGCTAAACAAAACATTATCCTGCTTTCTGACTCGTCTTTTGTACCTTACAGAGAGCATTTTGGCCACAAGCATCCCAAATACTCCGACACGCTGCTAGATTACGGCTTTTACTTGTTAAATGTAGACAATATATGCCAATCAGTTGCTATTTATCAGGTAAGCAACATTATTTATGCTTTTAATGGGTTTTAACTAGGTGCATATTGTAAGATGGAATCCCTTCTTGCTGCAGACCGCCCTGGACATCCGACAGTCCGTGTTTGGGGGGAAGAACATCCACGTAGCCACGGCACACGAAGACCTGGCGTACTCCTCATATGTCCACCAGTATAGCTCTGGGAAGTTTGACAATGCTTTGTGAGTATGATAAATCTTATGGATTAATGGGGCTTCTGAGATAAACCAGCCTGTTGCAGCTGTTACACCGGTGTTCACTGTGAGGCACGCCGCTGTTTAGGATTTAGTGACACGTTAATTAGATCTGTACAGAAGCGACAGGAGGATTGCTGACTCTGCCGTTTCCTGTTGTGTGAATCCAGACACACCCAGGGAAAGTGCTGATTACCATCGGGTGGTCCTCGGATGATGTTAAAGTTGACTTAGTGAGGACATGACCAGTGTTTCTGATGCAGGAACGTCAGCTTTACACCAAAACAATATGACAAAATATGCAACTTTAGCTTTTAAAAAAAGGTTAATGTGTGACCTGAACTCTCTGCTAGTTCCTGAGTAATTGTGGAAGTTGAATAAGGACTGAAAATGGTCCCAACAGAAAAGCAGCTTCTTTTAATGTGTCAGCCATGTTGACTTTTAATGATGGAAACTACGTGGACTAAAATAGAAACGGTAACTTGTTTTCATCGCTGTGGATTGTTTCACACTGCTAAGAGCAGCGAGGACGCTTTCCGTGACCTCTGTTCCTGAATTCATGTCTGGCTTGTTTCCCAAACAACTTTAGGAAACACATCTGATATTCTTGGAAGTGTTTACTCTGAATTATCTGTTTCTATCCTGGCCTGAGGCAGCTGACTTGTTTATCCCCAGATTCCATGCAGAACGCGCCATAGACATCATCACTCATATTCTGCCTGAAGACCACCTTCTGCTGGCCTCCTCCAAAAGAGTCAAAGGTGAGAGAAGCTTCCTGAAGACGTTGGACCTCTGCCCACTGAGTGAAGGATACTTTACAAAACACTGGGACAGCGCCACGGCTCCGGCAGAAGAAGGGCATGACTGAATGCATCTCTAATGTTTAACATGTGTTGTTCTTCAGCCCTGATCCTGGAGGAAATTGCTATTGACTGCCACAATAAAGAGACAGAAGAGCGCCTGCTGCAGGAGGCTCACGACCTGCACCTCTCCTCACTGCAGCTGGCCAAGAAGGCCTTTGGGGAGTTCAACGTTCAGACGGCCAAACACTACGGCAACCTTGGCCGACTCTACCAGTCCATGAGGAAGTTCAAGGTGGGTCAGAATGGTGTGGGACTTTCTGAATGAATCTGTAGAAGAAAATAGGTCCACACCCTGGACCTTAATTTGGGGGTGGGAAGATCTATATCCATGGTCCTGGAGTGACTTGGTGGGTCAGGTTTAGAGTAAAGAACTGTTTCTGTTGTTAAATACTTAAGAGTAGATGGAAGCAACGTGTGAACGATCGTCTCAAACATCAGGTAATTATTTTCAAAGCAACTATGGATGTAAGAAAATATTGATATGGCAATATATCGTGATATTCTTTCCTGCTATGTTACATCGATATTCAAAAGCTGTGTATCTAATTTTTGAAAGAATTTACATGCAAACATTTGTGTATTTTCTTTGCTTTTGGTGCAATTCAAACACCGACCACTAGTTGACAGCAGTGTGCAATGGGATTTGTTTCTACCATTGAAATGTAAATCCCTCGATTATGGTTCAGATACCTCATGTTAACCCTCTGGAGGCAGGCGTTGCAGATTTGCAACGGTAAAACCTACCTACCTGGTTACTCCACGTACGTATTTCATGAGCATTTTTAACTCAGAAGTACCCCTGAAGGACTTAGTTGTTCGTCCTTTTATCAAAACTTATTTTGAGCCTGAGAGGGTTAAACATGTTAAGTATCAGTTTGGACTGTTTACTGAATTTTCCTACAGTAAATTCCGTCAAAAAAAATTCACTAATATCGTCTGACTGTATCACAATACATCATGATATATTGTATCGTCTCCCCTGTATCGTGATACGTATCGCATCGCCATAATTTCACCAATGCACATCTCTAATAGCAACGTTCTGTGGTTATTGAATCTGCAGGTTTTAGGGCTCAGCTCTGAGTTCTGTTGATTCTGTCTAGTTCTTCTGATCTAATCCAAACATTTAACAGTCTACGGTTATGAAGTGACCTATATTATGTTACACACAGCAGGCAGTGTTTACAGAGTAAACACAATGCTACGCGTGTGTGTGTGTGTGTGTCCGGAGGTTGTTGAGCTATCAGAGTGAAAAAAATTGCATAAGCGATAAAGGGAAGCTTGTTTACATGTGATCTCACCACTGCCCCTCACCCCTCGGAGCATAATTGATCTGTCTGACAGACGCAAAGCTCAGATGAAATGAGGCATGACTGGTCTGACTGGGCTTGCCGGATCGGTTTTAGGACCACATATGAAAGGACCTGGGTCTGATCGCTGCTGTTCAGACTGAATTTGCATTAGGAGGAGGGAAGATAAAGACCACTAGTGAGTGGACAGGAGTTAAGACATTAATTAAAGAGCAGAAGACTGACTTGGTTTAGAAGGAACACAGCTGGATTTAGCATCTTTGGATTGCGCTAGAATGATGTCCAATTAAACTCCAAAGCTCAGAAGGGAGCAGTCGCAACAGATTCATGTGATCCACCTTCTGAAATCTCCACAGTTAAAGCTGCTTTAGCGAATTTACAGAACAAGCTAGATTTTGAACGCAAACACGGTCACACACTCACCCCTCCCCTCGGGTATCTTTCCTGAGACGCTTCTGTTGGAACTGGAAACTCGCGTTACCAGAGGAAACATTGTGCGTGACGTCAAATTGTGTTTTCCTTTTTGGGACTGTGGTAGTTTGTCCTAAAGTTGAAGTGGTAGCAGCCGGCTGTTTCTCCTTCTCTGATATTATTAAACTGAGTACCTCTCACTGCAGTGGTGTTCTGTTGCTAAATACCCAAGTGTGTTATGAGTAGGGCTGGGGGTAAACGATTATTTTTAAAACGATTATTCTGACGATTATTTTATCGAATAGTCGACTATTCTAATGACTATTTAGAAAATTAATCTAATGATTATTTTTCTATTGCACAATTAACAAAAACCAGAAAATCTCAAATAAATTCCTCAAAAAAATTGATAAATTCTTACTGTAAGAGAATAAACACTATAGGCCTTCCATTTTGTATAACACTGCGTTTATTGTGTTGGTTGGTTATGTTCTGGTGACATGTAGAACTTGGGAGTGCAGGCTGCTGCCTGAGAGGTGGTAGAAGATGGAATGTCTCCATGCTGCTTTGTTTTGGTCACTTATGTGCGTGAGGCGAGTGGTCTTACGGGTTAAACCAAACTCAGGTGATATTTTACACTAAACCGAAAACCCACAACACTCTAAATGTAATGAAAGGGAGATCTACACCACAAAAAAGATGAACTCTAAACCAAAACGTAACAGCTTATCCCAACGCAAGAAGCTGTTAGCGAAGATGCTAACAGTAGCTTTACCAACATTAAGTTCAAGTTACCAAGTTTAAATAAACCAAAAACACCCAGCAGCAAACAGACCAGCACGGAGGAGAGACTGCTACCACCAAAACAGCTCTCCTAATGTCTGAAAGAAGCTCCTTGATGAAGGGAGAAGCGCTCCCGGTGATTTTCTACATCTGCGGTAGACACGAAGCAGCGCATCTGACCCCGGAAGTTGTTGTCCGTTGCCGGGAGACGAAGGCGGGCAAAACAGGAAAATAATCTAGTAGAGGACGGACGTTGTTCCGGGTCTTCGGTATTTGGCGGAGATGTTATTGAAGGCGGAGAAGAGGGCGAACTAGAGGAAAAACAGGCAGATTCCTCCTCTATTTACAAACTCCTGGGGATGCAACAAGTGGGCGCGGTGCGTCGACTTCCGGATCTGACGTCGACAAATTTTTAGAATCGAGCCGTCGACTTCGTCGAGGCTTCGCTACAGCCCTAGTTATGAGCGGAGGACTCAGGGAAGTACAGAGGATCAACGAGACCGGCAACCGGATGGTCCAATATTTGTTTTTGGTCCAAAACGCTTTATTGGTGAAGGTTTTTAGACAAATTCAAGAGAACCACTTTTCATTTTTTAAAAACTCTACAATATATTTATAGCTATACTGTGTTAGAACATTGTTGAGGCCAGAAAAATGTTTTTAGCTAATCTGTTTTCCAAGTTTGCCATTGCAGTTTTAAATGATGTTATGAACAACAAAAAAATGATGTCCTACTGCAAGAAACATAGGAAATAAACCTCAAATCACCAGCTTCCTTATTTTGGTAAGCCTGAAAACTAAATGCTTTATTTTCTGTGTGTGTATATTTCTGTAACCAGGAGGCAGAGGAGATGCATGTAAAAGCCATCCAAATCAAGGAGCAGCTTCTGGGTCATGAGGACTATGAGGTGGCTCTGTCTGTGGGTCATCTGGCTTCTCTTTACAACTATGACATGAACCAGTACGAGGATGCAGAGAGGCTCTACCTGCGCTCTATTGCTATTGGTCAGTAGCTTTGTGCTCCATAAACACCAGCTGGTGATGTTTTTTTTTGGGGGCAGCAGTAGCTCAACAGGTTGAGCGGGTTGTCCAGTAATCGGAAGGTTGCAGGTTCAATCCCGGCTCTGGACAGAGAATTCTGCTGTTGTGTCCTTGGGCAAGACACTTAACCCACCTTGCCTGCTGGCGGTGGTCGGAGGGACTGGTCGCCTCTGTCAGTGCGCCCCAGGCCAGCTGTGGCTACATCGTAGCTCATCACCATCAGTGTGTGAATGTGTGTGTGAATGGATGAATGATACACTGTAGTGTAAAGCGCTTTGGAGTCCTTACTCTGAGAGGCGCTATACAAGTGCGGGTCATTTATCATTTTAATGCTACATGGCGATTGTTAACCTAAAACCAGCAGTCAGTGTTTCAATTTAATTCAAAAAATACTTTATTAATCCCACAGGGAAATTGACTGCTGTAGTAGCTCAGAATAATAATAATAATCAAGTCATCAAAGAGTTGTTGTATATTACAATGGCTGTTGGCAGGAAGGATCTCCAGTAGCGGTCAGTGTTGCAGCGAAACTGAAGAAGCCTCTGACTGAAGACACTCTTCCGTTGTCGGACAGTCTTGTGAAGAGAATGCTCAGGGTTGTCCATAATTTTCTTGATTCTCTGGAGAATCCTTCTTTGCATTATCTCCTCCAGTGGTTCCACAGTCGTCCCCAGAACAGAACCAGCCTTTTTTATTAGGCTGTTGAGCCTTTTCAGGTCCCTGCTTCTGATGCTGCTACCCCAACAGACGACGGCTGAAGAGATTACACTCTCAACAACAGACTTGTAGAAGATCTGCAGCATCTTGCTACAGACATTGAAGGACCTAAGCATCCTCAAGAAGTGCAGTCTGCTGTGCCCCTTCTTGTAAACGGCTTCGCTGTTCTTTCTCCAGTCCAGTCTGTAGTCCAGGTGAACTCCAAGGTATTTGTATTCCTCAACCACCTCCACTTCTTCTCCCATGATGGAAACAGTGTTTGACTCCACCCTGTTTCTTCTGAAGTCTAAAATCATCTCCTTTGTTTTGTTCACGTTCAAGGTCAGTTGATTGTTTCCACACCATGCCACAAAGCGCTCCACCAGCTCTCTGTACTCAGCTTCCTGTCCATCTCTGATACACCCGACAACTGCAGAGTCATCTGAGTATTTCTGTAGATGACAGGTCTCTGATTTGTACTGGAAGTCTGAGGTTTACAGGGTGAAAAGGAATGGTGAGAGTACAGTCCCCTGTGGTGCTCCAATGTTACTGATCGCCTGGTTTGATGTGCAGTTCTTCAGCCTCACAAACTTTGGTCTGTTTGTTAGGTAGTCTTTAATCCAGGCGATAGTTGAGGCCCCCACTTGTGTCTTCTGGAGTTTCTGGCAAAGTACATCAGGTTGAATTGTGTTAAATGCGCTAGAGAAATCAAAGAACATGACCCTGACAGTGCTGCCTGCTTTGTCCAGATGACAGTGGGTTGGTTGAAGCAGCTGAATGATGGCATCTTCAACTCCAACTCCATGGCGATAAGCAAACTGCAGCGGGTCCTGATATGTCCTGGTTTGCTTATTCAGGTGGACCAACAGGAGTCTCTCCAGGACCTTCATGATGTGGGATGTCAGGGCACCCGGTCTGTAGCTGTCATTGACTGATGGGTGAGTTTTCTTTGGAACTGGAACAAGGCAGGAGTCTTCCACAGGACTGGAACCTTCTCCTGGGCCAGGCTGAGGTTGAAGAGGTGCTGCAGAATCCCACAGAGCTGCTCTGCACAGGCCTTCAGTACTCTGAGACTGTCACCATCTGGACCTGCAGCCTTGTTCCTGTTCAATCTCTCCAGCTGCCTCTTCACCTGACTTCTAGAGACCGATAGGTGGGAGGGGGAGGTAAATGGGCAGCAGCATCTCCTGACTTGGTTGAAGACAGATTTATAGAACCAGAAGAGTCCATGACTGCATTAGAGGACAAAAGAGCTGGTGTGTGGCAGGAAAATGTTGGATCAGAGGAGGATGGGATGTCTGATTGGCTGGGGACAGGCGAGGAGGATGCTGGGTTTGTTCCTGAACTGAACCTATTGAAGAACTTGTTCAGTTCATTGGCTGTGTCCAGGCTGCCGTCTGTGCAATCCTTCCTCTGCTTGAAGCCTGTGATCTTCTTTATCCCTGACCAGACATCTCTGATATTGTTCCTCTGTAGTTTGTTCTCCAGCTTCTTCCTGTATGCCTCCTTGCTGTCTCTGATCTTGATCTTCAGTTGCTTCTGTATACCCCTCAATAATTCCCTGTCTCCCTCCTTGAAGGCTCTTTTTTTCTCATTTAGCAGATCCTTCAGTTCACTGGTGATCCAAGGTTTGTTATTAGCAAAGTATCTCACTGTTCTGGTGGGTATGATGTTGTCCACACAGAAGTTTGTATAGTCAGTGACACATCCAGTCATGGCATTGATGTCCTCGTCATATCCTTGGCAGAGAGTTGTCCAATCTGTGGTCTCAAAACAACCCTACAGGGCTTCTTCAGCGTCCTGTGACCATTTTCTCACAGTTCTTCTTGTCACAGGTTGTCTCTGAACAAGTGGTTTGTATTCTGAGCAGAGAAAAACAAGACTGATCTGATTGTCCCAGAGGAGGTCTTGTTTTGGACATGTATGCATTCTTTACATTTGTATAACACAAATCCAATGTCTTGTTTTCTCTGGTGGAGCAGATGACAAACTGCTGAAATGTTGGAAGTGTAGCAGAGAGCGAGGCATGATGATGAGGCAGAACGGGCCAGGCTAGATGTGAAAAAGCCATCATTGTCACACTTTGTGGGCAGTTAATGTGTTTGTGTTGCTGATGTGTGCTTCTTCCAGTTGTATTATTTTAATTCAAGTAAAAATGCCTCTTTAACCTAAGGGGAAGGAAATATGAGATCAGTCAATCAATCAATCAAAGCTTTATTTATAAAGCGCCTTCCGCAACCCTATCGGGAAGCCCAAGACGCTGAACATGGTACAAGAGAAAGTTAAATATGGTGAATAAATCGAAAATAAAAGCAATTCAAATTAAAAATTACAAATTACAAAAAAGGTAAAACATTCTAGTAGAAGACAAATGGGTAAAACAAGGGAGAGAGTGAACCAATGAAAACCAGGAAATAAAATCAACATACAAGGGGGCCAAATTCAAACACATTCAGGAAACGCCAAGTGGAGGAGGTGGGTTTTTAGGCGACTCTTAAAAGACTGGCAGAAATGGGGACAGCCTAACTTCCCCAAACCTATCTTTTATCAGAGCTCCCTCAAGGTTGGTTTATGCTTGACGCGTCCGCGAGGTCCGCACGGCTCCGTGCGGAAAAGTTGCGTCATTTTGCGTCATTTTAACAACCACGCCCCTCCACCGCGTCTCCGCACGGCCCAAGATTTCCGCAACGCGCACCTCGGAAAATTTCTAACCACGCGGACGGTCGGACGTGGAAAAACATGGCGGACCGGCACGGCAGAGGTTCGTAAATACAGACATTTGTATGATTCAGCTCTCAGAGATCACCGTGATCAACATGTTGTTAATAATTCTTGGAGAGAAATAGCTCGCACTGTCGGAAAAGACGAGAACGCTGTTAAAAAATGCTGAAATACCATGTTGTAAACAGTGATTTCTACTTCTACTATGGTGTAGTGTTGGATGCATGCTATAGAGCTCCATGCTGCCCCGTTCAGTTTGGGAGAATATTGGCTCACCGCAGAGACGAGCCGCACAAACCATAAACGCTGCTTGTTGTGAAGCGCGTTCCAGCCGCGAGTTGCATCACCGCGCGGAAAGTGAATGCGTCAAGCATAAACCAAGCTTTAGGATGAATATTAGAAATGGAAAACTTATTGCTGGGACACAGGTCACTGTGCCCCTCCCACTGGAGCCAGGCCTGGAGGTGGGGCATGTTGTCAGCATCTGGTGTTTGGGCTTTTATTCGTGGAGCTCAGCTTTGCACAGCCTGAAGAGGAGGTGGGTCCCCCTTCCCATGAGATAGCCACTCATGGGAGGGGCCAAAGGGGTCACGGTTAATATGAGCAATGGCTGAAGGCAAGGAATTTGGTGGTCTGATCCTCGGCTACAAAAACTGGCATTCTCTACATGGAATGTCACATCTCTGGTGTGGAAAGAGTCAGAGCTGATGTGTGAGGATGAAAGGTTCCGGCTAGGTATTGTTGGACTCACCTCAATGCAGGACTCTAGATCTGGAACCAGTTTCCTTACAAGGGGTTGGACACTCTTTCACTCAGGAGTTGCCCTCACTGAGAGTCACCTAACAGGGATTTGACATTCTTGTTGCCCCCCCAGCTTGGTGCCTGTACAACGGAGTTCACCCCTGTTAATGTGAGGGTAGCCTCTATTTGCCTATGTTTGGGGGAGTTGGATCCTGACTGTGCTTATGCGCCAAGCGGCAGGTCAGATTACTCAGTCTTTTTGGATCATTTGGAGGGGTTGCTGGAGAGTGCTCCTTCCAGTGACTCCCTTGTTTTGTGCGGGGACTTCAGTGTTCATGTGGGCAAAGATGATGAAACCTGAGCCGCTTTCATAAGATACACATGCTGGCAAATCAGCATAATACTACTACCACAGTGTGTTTTGTGGAAGCACTGTAATGCACTCTGGTGATGCAGGAATTTTGGTGCCTCTCATGCCGCCAAGCTTGGTATTAATTTTACCGCAATTCCGGACTTGTGAATGAAGATCAAGCCTTGACGCAACAAAGGGTAATGTCATGAACACGTGGGGAATGTTCACCGAGCCCTGGCCGGCAACCATATTGAAAATGAATGTAAACACGGGCAGTTTGTTTCGCGTTTGTAAACAGTCACCTGAAATGGCAAACTGGAGCAAGGCAGAGGTCTGGGATCTTCTCTCTATTAGAGCTGAAACTCAGATCACCAAACTGTTCACGGTGACTGCGAGGGACATTCACCTTTAGGAGCAATAAAAAGCAAGTTATGTCCACTCCAAGCTTAAAGTAAGTCCGTGACAGCGCAGAAACCTCCCCCACACCTCCTTAATACAGCCATTACGGGTAGGCAGAGTGGAGCGTCTGCTAGTGTGTAATGGCATTGGCAGCACTGTTTTATATAAGAGGCTCTGGAAAGGTTGGGGAGAATCCCAATCCCCACCCACCCCCAATTTGAACCCAAATGGTGTTTTTGTTATCGGACATCTGTGCTCATCATGGATCGTTCATTATAAACACAGTGTGCAAGCATAAAAGTGCCAATATATGCTCTTGGCATCGATATTTTAGGCTGCAGTTTGATGATCAACTAGGTTGTCATCTCTTTTGATCTTCAGCTACATGTTTTTGAAACTCAGGTGAAGGAGGGGGAGGAGATGTCAAATGAATACTACCTTGTAGTGAGTTGGCTCAGATTTTTGGGAAGGATATTGGTCAGACCTGGCAGGCCCAAAGATATCATAAGAGTCTGCTGGAGGCATCTGGTAGAGTCTCCTGTCAGAAGGAGCTTCCATTCCCACTTCAGGTAGAAATTCAGACACATCCCGGGGTAGTCAGTAGAAATTGTGTCCAAGTGGGCTGTGTCAAGGTGGCTGACAGGACCTGTGGCTGCAGGGTTGTTGGTCCTTTTAACAGCAGCAACCCTTGAACCCGCTGGCGGACACCAGTAGTAAGGGATGCTGTCATGCTGAAGGAGTCCTGTGGGACCCCAGAAGTAGCTGGTCATCCAAGCAAAATGTGACTTGGGTGGTCTGTGATGCAAAAACCCATGGAAAGAGTTTGGTAAGGCCATTAGAAGGACTTCTATACAGCTTTGGGGAGATTCTGGTCCACCATCTGGCCCTGTAGGGTGTCTTGTCCCGAAGGGTGTATGGGAGTTTGCCCTACCTGTCTACTTGTGGCGTTTGAATGTATCCCTCGTGTAGTACTGTTGGGGGTGCTTCGGGAGTATGGCATACTAGGCCTCTTGAAATTATACTGATACAGTGTGATCGGTGTCAGAAATTGCTCTACATCGCAGGCGGTAAGCTTCTGATGAGTTGCGCTCCGCCAAGGCCACCCTTTGTCATAGATTATTTTTGGGCTGGGCGATATGGCCTAAAATTAATATCACAATATATTGAGGACCTTACCTTGATAACGATAAATGGATGATAACTACAGGTATGTGCAGAAACAAAAGTTGTCCACTAGATAGGGCTGTCACATGTATTAAGTTAAGTCACATTTTTACGTGACTCAATGTGGTACAGCTTCTTAGAGGGACATGAACGTTGCTAACCTACACACATCTTTTCACTTTTTATTCATCAAATTTATTAACATGGGAAAAATGATCTCAATAATAGTCCGAAATTTCGATAACGATAAATTTTCGATTTATTGCCCAGCCCTAGATTATTTTCATAACTTTTATGGACAGGATTTCTAGGTGCAGCCAAGATTCTGAGGGGATCTGTTTTGTTGGCCCAACAATCAGGTCTCTGCTTTTTGTAGACAATGTGGACCTGTTTGCTTCATCAGACCATGATCCCCATCTTTCGCTGGATCAGTTCGCAGCCGAATGTGAAGCAGCTGGGATGAGAATCAGCTCCTCCTAATCCAAGTCTATGGTCTTGAGGCATAAAATGGTAGAATGCCTTCTCTGGGTCAGGGATGAGGTCCTGCCTCAAGTGTAGGAGTTTAAGTATCTCTGAGTTTTGCTCATGAATGAGGGAAAATGGTGCAGTGGGGTCCATAGGTGAAATGGTGCAGCGTCTACAGGGATGCAGGCACTCTACTGGTCTGTTGCGGTAAAGACAGCTCAGCTTGAAGCTCTCGAGTTACCAGTCAGTCTACAATTCAAACCGTATCTTTGGTCATGGGCTTCGGGTAGTGACTGAAAAAAACAAGAGTGTGGATACAAGTGACTGAAATTGGTTTTCTCCACAGGGTTTTTGGGCTTCCCTTAGAAATAAGGGCAAGACGTTCAGCCATCTGGGGGGGGGGGGGGGGGGGGGGGCAAGTAGATCTGCTGCTCTTTCACATTGAGAGGAGTCAGTTGAGGTTGCTCAGGCATCTGGTCATGGACACCTCCCTGGTGAGGTTTTCTGGACACAACCACCTGGGAGGAATCTTTAAGGAAGACCCAGGACACGCTGGAGGGACTGTTGGCATTTTCACATCTGACCTGGTCCAGTCTTGGTAGTGGCGGCCCGCCCCCGCACAACCAGGTTTTGTTCACATAGGACAGTCAGGGCAATCCAGACAGTTTTCATGTGTCGTTCCGCAGATGTGGAACGACCTACCAAGCACCACTAGAACAGGGGCTTCCTTGTCGATTTACAAGAAACTCCTGAAGACCCAGCTCTTTAGAGGGCATCTTCTAAAGTAGCACCCTCCCAGCACCTGTACCCCACTCTACTGCACACTCCATGTTCACTTCCCTGATTCATTATGCTGCCTCACTGCCACCTAGGATTGACTGAATAGTGTTTGTTGTTAGCCTCAAGGGCAACCTGATTGCTCGAATATCACCTGTAAGTCGCTTTGGACAAAAGCATCTGCTACATACATAAACATAAACTTATAGCCTTCTTAGGAAAGTGGGCATCTCCAGCACATGGGCAGCGCAAAAACACATGAAGTTCGTGGTTTTCTCCTTACATTGGTGAACAAAGGCAGCTGTAAGCAGTGTTGATTTTGGATGCTCTGATATGAAGCACACTGCTTCCTACTTGAGAGTGCAGCGGTCTCCTCTCACAGCAGTGTGTCCTTGCGCTGTTGCTGCCAGAGCAGGTTCTGAACTGTAGTAAGAAAAAAATGTTTACCTCACCACATACAGACTGATAATGAATCGTGCAAACGGAAAGCCCCCATTGGCTGATTCTACCCGCCAATCAGTGGCTCCCTCTATAGGTAGGCAGGCATGAACCTCAGCTGGCCAATCAATTGGTAGTTGGTGTGTTGGGTCGGCTTCGCACAAAGCGGACAGCCGGATAGAAGGTCCAATAAAAAGCTGGTCACCAGAGCATGGAAAATGCACAGAGTACCCAGATGTGAACACAATTAACCTACCAGAGCTGGGCTGTGCCGACCCAGATGTGAAAGCCCATAAGTTTCTTTGCTGCCTGGGAATCCTTTAAGGTTCCCCCAGAGGAGCTGGCCCAAGTGGCTGGGGAAATGGAAGCCTGTCTGTTTAGGCATCTCCCCCAGTGACCTGAACCCTAGATAAGTGGAGGAAAATAGATTACTTGATGGACTGGGTTATTTATCGGAGCTGGTAGTTTTTAGTAGGAATAATTTAGCTGAATTGATGAATGATTCCAGGGTTTCCCTTACATAAGCGTAGCCGTGGCGGCCTGCCACGGCTGAAATCCCAGCGCCACCCCTACAAGATCCCAAGTTTTTTTTTTGTTTGCGCCGTTTCCCGAAGAAGCAGCGGGAACTACTCTGTTGTTGCTTGTGATCACAGCCGGCAGGCAGCAAGGAGGAGGAGGCAGGGCAGGATGGTTACAGCTAGGGATGAGCTGGATACTCATTTCAGACTAGTATCCGGTATGGATAACGCATTTTTGACGAATACGATCATGAAACGAGTAAAGCAGGGCGTACACTGTGCGACTTTTTCACTTTTTTGAGCCGATTTTCCACTCGTGCGAGAATCCACAACATCGGGGCGAGTTTTGCGCTGAGCGTTGTGTAGTGTACAGGGGGTTACGGGAGGCGATTAATACCACGTGACCAGCTACCGATCAACAATCGTGAGCTCGCACGGACTTCTGGAGTGTTTGATATTTTGCTCGTTCCTCGTAAGGGTTGAAGTGGCACCGTTTATGTTAGTAATTTTATTTACTAGGTGCGTCTGACCTGTTCTATTTTTCTCTGAAATGAGATCAAATCAGTGCTTCTATGGGTTGTCTCCTCTCTGCACTATAAAAGTTTACTTTATTATAATGTTCACTGTAATGCATCTTGATGTTCTTAACAAATGAATAAAATCAAAGATATTGGTCAATAATGCCAAATATGTAAATTTGTGTTTCAGTCATTTTTATACTGGCTTAAAAATGCTTCATTAGGTCTACTAAGCAGGGGTGTAGAATGTTTTTAATGGGGCCAGCCCAGTAATGATCTTGGACCAAAATACAGGGGGCAGAAAGTCAAATAAAGGGGGGCAAAAGGAGATGTTTTTCCAGACGCCAAGAAAAATTAAATGCCAAATCCACCTGCAAAGTGTGTCACTGAGAGTTTAAAACAAAAATTATTCTTGTGCAAATATTGGTGTATTCACCTTTAATACTAGTTATTAAGATGCAGCAGTTGCTGGACTGGTGCAGTTCAAAGTGGAATAATGCATCAAATAAAACAATATTAACATAAAGGTGAGACGTGTCATAATCCACCCGCCCACACACACACAGCTGGGAAAATTCCTAGGGGAAACACTGGATTCTCTAAGTTTAACATCATGTAGAACTAATCCATTCATTGAGTGCTCTTGTTTACTCAGTCCTGGCAGGTCTTAAATATGAGTCATGTTCTGAAGGAGTTTCTTAATGGATCCAGTGAGAAAAAAATGACTGTCCTCTTTGCTGCAGGTAAGAAGCTGTTTGGAGAGGGTTACAGCGGGCTGGAGTACGACTATCGAGGCCTGATCAAACTCTACAACTCGGTGGGGAACTACGAGAAGGTGTTTGAGTACCACAACGTTCTGACCAACTGGAACCGGCTGAGGGACCGGCAGTTTGCCGTGGCAGACGCTCTGGAGGACGTCAACACAACACCACAGCAGACCCAGGAAGTGGTCCGAGCTTTCCTCCAGGCCCAGAGCCTCGGCCCGACCCGGCCCTGTCTGGGCTGAGGTGGTTCTGGTTATACTGCTGTGGGAAAACAGAGAAGAACCAAAACCAGGTTTTAATCTGGTGAGAACACAAAGAAGCCCAAAGCCGATGCTTCGGTCGCAGTTATTTAGTCACATTCTACAGTAAACTGCTCTGTTGACTGCACTTGTCACTGCAGCTGCCAGTACACACACACACACACACACACACACACACTGTTGTAATTAAAAAAGATAAAGATGTATAATGGCGTAGCAGTTCCAGCTCATCCCCACCCAGGCAGAGCGAAGAGCTCGGCTCCTCTCAGATCCACCGCTGAAGAACCCAGCTGTTTAGGTTCCACATGCCTTTTTCTGCAGAGATGCTTTAGACTCTCCTCAGAACCAAACGCTGTTGGCTGGCGTGTGTTCACGACGACGTGTGGAGCCAACAAACATCACAGCTGGATGTTTTCACACCTACTGTGACGTAATATAGCAGATTGTACATTAAGTTTAATTTGAAGGCTTCTTGTGTATTTTTTGGACTCTTGGATATTAAACTCTTGCTTTGAAGTGCTTGGTGGAGTGAAATGACCAACAGTGGAATGTCAACCCCTTGGGAATTATACACCGCAGATTCCAGAGGTCTGGTTTTTCAGTTCAATGTTGCGGAGTTTTTTTCGGGGTTTTTTTTTTGTGTGTTTTTCCATTTTAATACTGACATAGCTTAATTAAAATTTCAACAATTTATATGCAGAAGTGTATGATTATGTAGCCCATTGTTTGTGCTTTGAGTGATCCATGAACCCAAAAGCAATGTTGACAAGGGACCTGTACAGGAAGCAGAGAGGGTTGTCCTCCATGTCTGATCAGATCCATCATCTGGTTTGTCTGAGGTGTGTGTGCGTGCACGCGTGTGAGTGAGATTGTGTGTGTAGAGATCTCTGGGTGCCCATGCTCCTCTGAGGACCACCAGCCTTACACCAGCCTGCAGTTATTGGTCTAAATGGAGCCATACTCTTAAGTGCTTGATAAATTCTACCTTTTAGGGCACTATGAGGTGTGTGTGTGTGTGAGTGTGTGTGTGTGTGTTGTGCAAATTGCCTTTCATCTCCTGTCAGAACTCTCATCAGAGCAACCCATTGGACCACAACTCCAAACTGCTTCCGTCTAGTCTCGTTTGTCCGTCGGGGCTGCTGACGTGTCATGTTAGACCAGTAGAAAACTAACAAAACCCTCAAACCAGTCCACTGCATGTCTTATTTAAACTTCGTTTCACAGTAAAGACTCACCTCGGTAAAGATGGATTCCCTCAAATAACGAGACTCTTCACAAACCTCAGCTGTTTACGTGCCACTGTAGGCCACGTTTATAGGTCGAGTTTTACATACAAGTCATTACTAGTCTGTACAACAAACAGATGCAAGGACACATCTGGCTAAGAACTGTGACTGAAAGAGGACATTGGCCTTTTGCAGCTTTTTATTGCCCTCTGGTGGTCAAACTGTTTTGGCTCAGTAAGTGAGGCTTGTCTGTTCTCTGAGGTGTAAAGAAAACAAATTTAAGGAAAATGTTAACGACGCATCTTCTGGTGAGGTCTGGAACCCCTCACACCAGAACCCCCCAGCAGTGCATGAAGGTGAAGCATCAGACAGACCTGCTGCTTGTTCCTAAATAAAAACCAAACTGTGCTTTTCCTGTAACACAGACTGGTTGTCATGGTGATGAGGTGAAATGGAGGCGGAGGAAAACTGTGACCTCTTTAGAAGCTTCTTGTTAAGGCGCTAAATGCTATGGGATGTTTTCAGTGTTGTTCTGTTGCTGCAAAAACATTAAAATGTTTTATCACCGACTACATTTCTTCTCCCTGTGAGTATTCACTCTAGTTTCAGGCTCACTCGTTAAAATCTGCGTCATAGTTCAAGTGTTCCAGAGTTCCACTCTAACATCATATTTAAGTATGGGTGAGAAGATTTTGCAGGTAGTAGAGATCATGTCTTTTTATTCATATTGATATAAACTGTTTTTGGCCCAGATCAGTCAAGTCAGGTCAGCTTTTCACTAACTTCTGTTCCAGAACCAGCCTGGGCTGCTGTTTCTAGGCTCTGGGACCAGATAGCCGATGTTAGCCTGCCAGTCAGCAGGTGGATGCTAAAGGATCGGCCGACTTTCCCGTCGGAGCTTTGATCTCCTCTGCCTGGCTGCTTTTCACGTCTGTTCCACAACAACACAGGAGGGGATGACAGGTCCCACAAAGTGTCCAAAATCCAAACTGATCATGTTGTCAGTTTTTTGTCCTCCGTCTCATCGCTGGTCAGGTAATGGATGTGTGTCCAGATGCACCACATCTGCAAAGAAACAAGTGTTCTGTTCACTAATTAAGCAGCCAGGTCTCATATTTCACATTAAGGTTGCTGCTGTTCCTTGTTTAAAATGTTAATGTGTTAAATGTAACTGTCTCTAGTTGAAGGTTGATTTTCTTGTACTAAGTACTGATTGGTTGGCTGCTGCTCCAGTACCTCTGCTGACAGCGCCATCACACGCCCCGCAGCCAGAACCACTGTCCCCACAGACTGGACCCAAGGCTGCAGGCCCAACCAGTCAGACAGCAGATCATTCTGATGCAGGTAAAGCCACAGAGGGAGGCCGTGCAGCCCACTCACCACCCACACACCCAGAGGAGTCCAAAGCCCTGCAGCACAGAGATGTAGAACCAGACTGAACCAGATCGCCAGCTATGTCCCAATAACAAACTGGTTACCGTTTGCCATGATGGCCCGTATGAGGCGAGGACTGCTGCTGAAGCTGCTCTTCCAGTCCGGTCCCCTGGTGCTGTGGTTACACACAAACACACACCACTCCAGCGTCGACACCAGCCAGCCCCACTGAAACACAAAGGATGGAAAGAGATGTGAACAGGTAGCATCTTACCTGTGGTAGATCTGTGACCAGAGCCAGACTGGAGAAACAGCACAGTCCTGAGCCAGCAGCCTCAGCGGGGTCAGATTAAACACCAGTTGCCTGGAATTGGCCAATATTCAGCATAATGAGAGACTGGCTCATCTGAAACTAAAAAAATGGGATTTGTTTGGTCTGTGAACGCACCACTCTAAACTACTGAACCCTTACCCACACTACCGATAACAGACATTCCATGTTTTCACTCCCTGAATCCTAATTTTTAAGTTAACCATGAACAGGAAAGTAGCTTGTAAACTCTAGTTCTTTAAAGAAAATTGGTCAGAGCTGTGCAAGAATCAGGAATCGGTATTGGCCCACAAAATCTGTGCATCTCAACCACCAGGTACAAATTGTTTCCTGTTTTAAATCAGCTAAGAGCAAAAAAATTTTGTTTACATCACTGTTAACATAATTTTGTTATTTACACAAAAATCTGCTGTTACTTTCAGCAGAAACTGATTAAGGCTAGGAATGGGTTTGGGAGATTCCAACTGGATTCCTTCTGGCTGGAATTTGATAAGAATTCTGCCAGAATAACCAAGTAAAACTATGAATTATTGGTAACATGATGATTTAGCTCGCCACATTTAAATCTGGTCAGGATGCCTCCTGGACGCCTCCCTGGTGAGATTTTCCGGGCACTTCCAACTGGGATGAGGCCTAAAGGTAGACCCAAGACACGTTGGAGGGACTATGTCTCTCATCTGGCCACGGAACGCCTTGGGATCCCCCGGAGGAGCTGGTCCAAGTGGCTGGGGAGAGGGAAGTCTGGGCCTCTCTGAATAGGCTACTGTCCCAAAGACCCGACTTCGGATAAGCGGATAAAAATGGATGGATGGATGGATGGATAGAGGACATTTAAAAGATTCTTTTTCATGGTCTAAATACATTAAATGATCATCATTACATGTGTGCTCCAGAAGTTTCTGAGTGTCTGCAGACCTGAAACAGCAGACTCCACAGCATGCTTCTGCTGAGGTTGTCCACCAACACGTCCAGCCAAGCCCCAAACCTGGAGGTCTGGCCCAGCTTCCTCGCCAGCCAGCCATCTACTCCTGCACAGAGGACAACACGGGTGAGGCTTCAGAACCACCCAGGTGGATGTTCTCTAGGAGCAAAGCAACAATGTCTACGAAGAAAGCAGATGGTGATCCAGGTAAGGGGACAAAAGCTAGTTATAATAGTTCTATATTAAACATGGTATTCAAAACATCTACACTCCTAACAAGGACCAATGATCTACTCCAGACCCGGTATTGGCTCCTAACAGGGACCCACGCTATGATCTACTCCAGACTTTGGTCTAAGCTTCTAATAGTGACCGATGATCTTCCCCAGACCCTGGTTCTAGACTCATACCGTCCAGGACTGAGGCCAGTGTGTACAGAGGAACAAACGCAGCTGGAGACTGATGAGCAGCCCAGGCAGCAAACACAAGGCTAATCCTGATGTATCCTGAAAGAAACAGAGAGCACCCATCAAAACAGTTACCTGGGAAACTAATCAGTCAGCTGACAGATTCGGGACCTGTCCTAGAGCTGTCCTTGACCCCAGGTGTGAAGCACTTTATTATTGTTTAGTTTCAAGGCAGAGTTTAACAGCTGCTCCTGTATAGCAGTCGTAGTCTGAAGTTTCCAGGATCTGAACTTGATAGATAATACAAAAACACAATATTTGTATTTTAAAAAAAATTCTCACCAACTATATTCGGCCAAAACAGCATAACTTTGCGTCCACCTCCGGAGCGAAGCCTCATCTTGACTGACACACCTGGATGATGCAACCTGCTTTAAATTCGACCCACTAGCTACCAAAGTAAGCTCCGCTGAGCCAGTGGGGTAAATAGCATAATAATACTATATGTTTAGATATTCAAACATTTTAACAGAATCGTAAATACGCACCAAATCACAAGGAGTTCGAAATGCTTCCTTAAGCTGGTTTCTGTCAGGTTTCTACCTCGCCGCTAGACGTCGCTGTGATGTGGGCGCTGGCATGTACTGCTATAAATATGCCACAAGATGGCGCTGCTAGCACTGGTAGCTAAAAACGTCCACACGTTGACAGTTCCACCTGCGCATCGACAAACAGGATATTTTATAGCATTTAAAAGAAAAGAAAACACTTCACCGGGTTACATGAGCAAATTTAAAGCGTTGTTGGCCATCTTTTCTGTTTTGTTTATAAACTTTAGCTGAGCTCTGATCAACTGACTTGTAGAGTCGAATCATGTGACACAACGGAGACGACGCAAAAAACATTCACCCGTTCACCGCAGACACACCGTCATAAAGCCGTTTAACAGAGACGGCAACAGGCACTTGTGAGCCACTTGGGTTGAAACGCCTTATTCCTCAATTTACAATGAAATGAAGGGAACATGGGGGCCAAGGAGTCGAGGATCGGATTCCTGTCGTATGACGAGGCTGTCAGGAGAGGTAAGCCAAAAGAAAGCAAAGGGCCAAATCCGCTGTAGTTCTGTTAGCTTAGCTGGCTTGGGCTAACCCAGACCTCCTGGTAAAATCTGTTATATTTACATGACTTGCTTGTTTTATCGTATTGGTGTTTGCTAAACATGAATACATAATTGTAACAAATACAATATGACAAGTTGTTCTAATCGGCTTAGATGCAATACTAAAAACTGGCTGTATATTTACCATTTGAAAGGTTTGTTGTTGGCTAACGCTGTGTTTACCGCAGTCATTTCCCCCCCAAATTCACAGCGTTGAGCTACAGTACAAATCATTGCTTAGGCCTTTATATACTCTTTAATTTTTTTAATTAAATTATATTTTCCCTGAATTTTATTGTTTTTTGATTTGATTTAGACATTGTATTAGCGGTTGTTTAGTGATGCGTCTGTTTATAGTTAAAGGCAAGGTCAAGTTAAATCGGCCAGTTTTTGAACTGGGCTTGGCAGGGCTTGTTATTGTAGGAAAGCGTTGGTGTTCGCTAACCAGCCTCACCGCCCCAGCTAGCTGCGACTGAGCACCGGCAGATGCTGTAGCTGCCAACAGGCTAACTGTAAGACATCATTTGGTTAAGTTCAGGACTCAAACCCGTCCTCCGCGTTGGCCTTCGGCTGTGTTCGGGTGTTTGGCTTCTAGTGTTGATGTTGATGTGTTACATGCTTTTGGCTAGCGACCCGGGCTTTGGAAGAAAATCTCTTTCGTGTAATCGATCCATCGTAAATGCTTTACTGTGAGGAACCGAAGACCGGTTGTAAACAAACGGGGTCTGAACAGGTCTGCAGCAGCAGCTGATTTCACCTCATGAGTGCGTTTATAAAGCACCTCCACATCTGGATAAAATTGTAGAGCTGCTTTGTTTTTCTGTGCAGCTGATTTGACTTATGTAAGTGATCAGAACCAGGAAGGACCCTGCCTGGGGTTGCACTCCCTGTCAGTCCAGCTTCTGGGTTAGGAGATACTGTTACACATTCACCCAGGACTGCCTTAAAACGGAGTCTTGTCTTGACTGCAACACCTTACAAAAGCAGAAGTGACAGCCTGTGTAAGCGATTGCATTATTTACAGCTAGGGGGACCTTAGCTTGCTTTTATCAGAACCTTGTTGTTGGTTTAAGGTAGTGATTCACAAAGCTTGGTGCATTCTCACCCTGGAGAACATGGCCTTGATGGGCGAGATGCCGGATATCTCCATGATGAGGACGATAAGTCTAGCAGCACTTGATGTGGTTAGAAATTGTGATCTGTAGGGTGAGTAGGTCTTATAACTCCATATGATTGGATTGTGATGGGATTATGAAACTACCATCCATGCTTCTCTACTCCATTCCCCTCTGTGTGATTACTTGTTACATTGAACGCACATTTTTAATGAGGATTATTATTCCCTGTAACATTTTACTAATAAAGTACAAAGAAAGTTTCAGTTGATTGCTTTCATAATAAAATGATGTTTGTGGACTTGAAGTGAACATTTATTCAGAAACAGTGAAAAGTCCCAAAAATTTTATTTCAGAAAATCTCTGCATATAAAAATACCCAAGGGAAAAACAAAAGATATAAATAAATACATTTCTTTCAGTCTGAAGGAGCCTTAAGCAGCTGTTTCAATCATTTAATGACCATTTTAATAATTATGTTAATTATAGTGCAGATACGTTTTGAGTCCAAGCTAAAGCCGAACCACTTGTATGCTTCAGGATTAGAACCTGTCGTCCTCATATCTGTTATGTGTTGTCCATAAACCGTCCTGGTGGTTCTGCGCGACACAGTTCCACCTTTCAGTTCCTCTACGTTACCTGATTAATTAACATCAGCATCATTCATGGATGCATTTGGCTCCATCCCTATAGCTGACCAACAGCCAATGGAGAGTTTATCTCTTACTGGGAAAAGTGTTGCTGCGGTCAGACCAGAGGGCGACGTGCCTCGGTCCCAGACCATCAGAAACGCACAAAACCAACGTGACATCATCGCCACTGGTCTGTTCTTGTTGCTCTGCCCATGAAGGCTGAAATTTGAGAGGTTTATCGGGAATGGAGTCATTGCAGCATCTTACGCTGTGAAATATGAAACTGTTGTGTGAATTAGATGAAAACGGACAAAGTGTTTCTTTTTTGGACAAACAGAAGCTGACTGAACATTCTCAAAACACACACACACACAAACACTGACACACACACACACACACACACACACACACACACACACACACACACACACACACACACACACACACACACACACACACACACACACACACACACACACACACACACACACACAGCTGCCATCCTTATCTGACCAGTCACATGGCAGTGTTCCTATTTCCCACAGCGGGCATGACTTCAGCAATTACAGGGTTCAGCTTTCATGGCATATCTCTCTCTCTCTCTCTCTCTCTCTCTCTCTCTCTCTCTCTCTCTCTCTCTCTCTCTCTCTCTCTCTCTGTCTCTCTCTCTGTCTCTCTGTCTCTGTCTCTCTCTCTGTCTCTCTGTCTCTGTCTCTGTCTCTCTGTCTCTATCTCTATCTCTCTCTATCTCTCTCTCTCTCTCTAACAGGTCAAGTCTTTAGATGATTTCAGCCAAACAATCCATTAATAAAATGTTTTCATTGGAATGCTGCAGAGTCTTCCACACAGTTCGCGAGTAAAGAAAAACATGGTTTCTGATTGATGTTCCTCTTCAGGTGGCTTAGAGGTGTTTTAGGAACCAGGGCAGCAGCACATCGTTGGTTCTGGGTTAAGTGTGAAGGTTTACTTCCTTCTTTTCTAAAGAGCATCAAGTGTTTTAACATTTAGTGAAAAAAGGAAGAACCGTTTCCTGTTTTATTAAGTGCTAAATTTGCATCAACAAAATTCATTTGAAATCATGTTCAGGAAGGAGATGGATCTAAACGTTTCTTCTTCCAGCCGGTGTGATGAGAGCGTACATGCCGTGGTGATCTGTCAGACATGAAGCTGCTCTGGGAGTAGGGCTGGACCATCAAGGGTTTGGGCAATTTGGTGTAATTTGATGTTCACAATGATGAGAAATTGTACCAATAGAATGAGATCGCGGATACAAGAAGCCGGAATGAGTTCTCTCCACAGAGTGGCTGGCCTCTCTCGTAGAGATGGGGTGAGAAACTTTGTCATCCGGCAGGGGCTCGGAGTAGACCCGCTGCTCCTCCACATCGAGAGGAACCAGTTGAGGTGGCTTTGGCGACTTGATTAGGATGCCTCTTGGACGCCTCCCTGGTGAGGTTTTCCAGACACGTCCAATCAGGAGAAGACCTAAAGGAAGACCCAGGACACGCTGGAGGGGCTATGTTTCTCTGCTGGCCAGGGAACATCTTAAGCCTAATTTATACTTGTCCGTCTGCCTTGGGATGGAGACACGAAACGCCATTATCCGTCCTTTAGAGGGTTCTCCAGCAGGCTTGCAAGGACGCACGAAGTCGAGCTCTCTTTTCTAAACATCCGTCCGACAAGACAGACAGTGTTTTATTCCCCCGTGATTGGAGGAGTGAAAAGATGTGCAGCTAGAGTTTTATTCAAGGACGAAATGACGGGAAACGTGGGTTTAGAGGTGGTGAGCGCATGAAGAGTTGGAGGAGGATGAGGAACATATTTGTCTGTGTTAAAAAGTCTCTTCAATACAAAAACACAATAGTAAATGCACCATTTTGGACCAGATACGTGACAGGATACCACAGAACAGCGCTACGTCCTCGGTTGTCCTGGCGGGGAATTGCTTTGCAACACTCTCCAGGAGACGGAGAAGTTTGAAGGCAGAATGTCTCAGTCAGTGTGTGCGTGTCTCTCCCTCATGGAGCTGATGGAGAAGTATAAATTGGGCTTTAGGATTCCCCCAGAGGAGCTGGCTCAAGTGGCTGAGGAGAGGGAAGTCTGGACCTCATGACTTAGGATAAGTGGAAGAGAATGAATGAATGGATGGATGAATAAAAATTGTACTATTATCTACAAACTTCCATGCATGTCAACAAAGTGACATGAGGAGCCTGCAGCAGAAAGCTGACCAACTCTTTACTCTAGACTGTTTCCAAATAAACCTTTGATCATAGCATAACACAAATCAATCATTTTCAGGAGTTTTCATCATTTTCTGAATAAACCGTCTTCTAATAATATGAAAACAATGAAAATATGATCTTTACAGGAGGTAACCCTCAAATATGAGCTATTGTTCCTGTCAGTAATGTGACTCAATGCTGAGAGGCTGTTATTTATTAGTTTAGCTTTAGATCAAACACAGAGCTGCGACTAGTTCTGTCCTCTAGAGCTGAACTTGTTTCATCCTGAAGTCGCTCCAGAGGAGAACGCCTTATGGGTGTGCTGTCACTTGACCCGGCTGTAAACTCCCTACTTGACCAGTTCTCTCTGCTGGGTCAGACTGGTAGGTCCAGGTGATGCCAGAGACCCACGTGGTAACACAAAAGGATGCAAAAATGTGCATAGTGACTCTTTTATGCTAACGCTGTCTCTGGATTCATCTGCCGCTAACGTAAACATGCTGTCATCATGTCTCCCATCATATGAACCATACCCCAGTGTTACTGTGGGAGATATGGTGTTGCACCGGCAACCCAGCAGGAGGGAAGGGGGTGTCACCCTAAAATGGCATGATCAGAACAGCACTGGGGCATTTCCTGGTTCCTTGCCTCCAAACCAGCCCACTCAGCGGTTGCTGAGTGCAACCATAGAGCTCCGGACCCCACGTGACTGTTAGTAGACGCCATATTGGCAGGAAAAAAAGGTAAACACGGATCGTAAACATGAACGGGATCGGCTTGGATTTTACTTCGCCGGACTTTACTTCACACTTTAAAACCAAAGAAATCGTTTTATATAGTCAGAAATTAAATTGACTAAACATCTCCGACCCTTACCGTGCCCCTGGGATACACAAATAAAACTGTTGCAGCTCATCTGGGTCTTAATCTACACAAGATTTATCTTTACAGTGA